GAGTGGGTGTGTAAGTGTTGGAGTGTTAGAGGGATGCGTGTGGGATATCCAGGGTGATCCAGTGTATGTGAACAGTGAGTTGTTTGGGCGCTGAAGTCGCCATAACTGATTGAGAGTGAACTCATATCTGAAGCCATATCTCTGAGTCTTGTGTGGGCGCATGTCGCCAGTATGCTGCGTTGCTGTTTACATGCATGAAAAGTGTGTTTGAAAACGAGTATGATTGCAGCTGGCCTTATCCTATCGGATTTCTATTTGGCCTGTACGGTACCTACTAGAAAGTTCTAAGCGCGGCCCTATGGTAGAAAAGAAAATGGGACACTGTACCAGGGCCATACTGAGTCAGTACTTTCAGAACGTTTGTTTGCTGCAAAAGCAGCGAAAAATTAATGTACCTGAGCAAGTGCCCACCCACTGCAAGGGTCTGACACCTGCCTGGTGCTGGAAGGCAGAAAGCCAAAAAGTCTGTGATTCTTTTCAACCGGGTCTTGAAGACATTCACTTGCACACTATGCTTTTGTTCTCTGAGTGATGTCCACCCACTTGTATATATATTGTCACATATCTATGAGCTAAAAGAGTGCATCTTGTGAAACAAACAATAAAATACACAAGGGAAACATGAAGAGCACACTGAAACCATTCATTTTTATCATTCTTCTTTTTAACTCTCCCTTTACTGTGCCGCGTACGCACAAGGCTCGTTAATGAAATTGAGTGTGAGCTGCCCGCATCCCCGTGTGCCATAATGGCCACTTGTACACTGCGCGAAGAGGCAGAGTAAAGGGGGAGGGGATACACTGCCCGCATCCAACAGGGAAGAGAGATGGAGAGAAGACAAAGCAAAGAAAGACAAAGAGAAGGTAATGAGTGTAGAATGAAGATGAAAGCAAAGGAAAGAATAAAAAAGGCTCAAGAATCAGTCTGTCCTTGAAGACAGAGAGGACATACATTGTAAATTTGTTAGGATAAACATCTCTTTGTTCTCTAAGCGATACTCATGCATTTGTATATAGCAGATCTATATGGGGAAGCGGACGAACGATGCAGGGGAAGGCCAGGAAAAGAACGAGGCTCTGTGTGTGTTGTAGATTGTCACAGCCCCTGTTCCACCCAGATGAGTACATCCAGATCGAAGCAGCTTTACCTCTAGTGTGGGAGTCTGTGTGTGCAGACAGGGAGAGAGAAGGAGGGTGGATGGACAGACGATGTGACCGAGCACTGAGAGAGAGAGAGAGAGAGAGAGAGAGAGAGAGAGAGAGAGAGAGAGAGAGAGAGAGAGAGAGAGAGAGAGTTACAAGCAGATTCAAACACATGGACTGCTCAATTATAAATTGAGAAGCACGTTCGGAAACAACTTGATGCTTAGCTGAATACCTTTGCTGCCTTTGATATGGAAGCTGTTTTCTTGAAAGATAAGGTGTTGTCGTTCTGAGCTCCAGTGACATCATTTCGTGGTTTACGCCCTCGCTTGCCCACCTGCGAAGGGAAATGACGCCAAGTGCTAGGCTAAGCAATGAAAACAACATTCGGTTTTGCTTGCAGCAGCAACCCACACGTATAAAGGTGATAATTGCACTCTGCAGAGTCCTTACACATACAACTCATATGCATAAGAGCTGACAACTCCGTTCTACAGGGAGGGTTCGACAAACGAGGTACTAAGAAGCAGCAATGGACTTTCTGTGGCAGGATCAGGCCTGTAGCATTTGAAAGGTTCTAGACGGTTCTGGAGTTCAGAGGTGCCTTATAATCTCTTGGCCCCCAAAGAAGACACAATCCAGTGCGCAATCTTGTCAATATTTGGCGTAGGTAACCAATGTGTATCAGCAAATGCTGTACCCCAGTGATGAGAGGCTTAGTAACTGCAATCAGCATCTTGAGGAGTCCCCTTTTTAGGAAACGGAAGGGGCATGTTGTCCCCCCAGACTTCGCTCCACACACCTTTAGGCTTAGATCTCCTTTAGCAACCCCTGCCCATCCACCCTTACCTAGTTTCCCTCCTCCTGTCTTTTCTCCCACTCCCTCCCCCCCCCCAAACCCCCTCATCTCACCACCTCCCAATCCCACTCCAACCTTACGCTCCCTCTGAGCTTCTTTTTTCAAGTGAAAGTTGTGAAACTGGGTAACTTTCCCAGCCTGGCCTTTATGTGGGGTGGCCAGCCTCTTGACTCTTTTATAATGCGAGTGCATGTTTTCCAGTAAAAAAGTAAAAAGAAAGGGAAACGGAAGGGGAAGATTCCAGAAAGAGGCCCCACACCAGATTTTCACTACATGCTGTTGGCACAACTTTGCACAAGTTTGCAGTCATTAACAGAGAACATAGGAAATGGAAAGAATAAGAAACGAAGTGATGCAGTTCTTCAGAGCATCTGTTAAAATTGGAACGCATGGCCCCTGAGCGAGGACGGCACGCATAAATCGAGATGATAATTTTTTTTTCTCTGTGGAACAAACTGAAATCAGACTGCAACTCCAACTCGCTGTCAACATGCATACATGGGCGAACTGATGGCAAAACCAAACTCTTTCCACTCAGAATCAACAATGAACTTGCACTGGCGCCTTGTGCCCACATAGAAAACTCAGAGATATGTCTTCCAAATAAAACTCAGTTCAAATCAACTGTACAACTTGCGGCTATGGCCGCCGAACACTGTCTCCACCACCAGCCTCGCTCTCCCTCATGTACACATGTCCGAGGATCCACCCTGAATGTCCATGCTATACACCCACACACTGTACACCAAGTTCACGTCAACAGCTTGGCGGCTATGGCCACTGTCGTCTTCCTCCTCCTAGCTATGGCAGTCGCCGTCTTCCTCACTGCCCACTCAACTCCAGGCACGTAGACCTCCACACACAAATCACCAAGGCAGCGCTTCCGCATGGCTCACAGGCGAATGAATGAATGGCTGATCGCTGCCTCTTTATTTATACTGCTCCGCAGGTGGCCTGGCCCGGCCTCAAAACGTGTGGGCCTGGGCCCCAAACCGCGTGGGCCGGGGTCCAAACCACGTGGCCCTGGGCCTGGAAGCCTCCAGAACGCGTCGGCCTGCTGGGCCAAAACGTGTGGAACCTGTGGGAAACCGCGCGGGACCCTCACCACTTGCCTGGCACTTGCTGACTGGACACGGTTCAGACAGCCCTACAAGCTTCTAGACCCTACAGACTACTTCCTACAGACTGACTTCTGCACTCACGAAGGGCCAAGTAGAGACTTCCAGAAGACACTTAGCTAAGGCTAAAAGTAACGTACTAGACTGCTAACACGAAGACCTAGGGATCAAAATCTACGACCGACTAACCTGCTGACTTCTGACTAACCTGGAAGATTAAGGATAGGTCTCGGGTTCAAACCTCACCTAGGGGCTGCAGGTCTATGTACAGGGACAAGGGGTAGGTCTAGGGATCGAATCTGAGTGTCTGCAACTGTCGGGTCCAACTGGGTGAAACCGTTTCACTCCCGCCGTCCTAAATCCAAGGTCCTCTGAGAACACTCTATCTCAAGGCAGGTACCCTTTCTTGCTCTCTCATAGGCGTGTACTATGTCGGGAGCGGTTTCTAAAAGCTCTGTTCTAGTAAACCACCTGTCGTCCTCTGGTTCCTGGTATGCAAATCTGACTTTGTATTGCTTCTGAGGACGACCTCGTCCTCCGGTTGCGCATGGACACCGGCAGGGCGTTAGAATGGTGCACGGCGTGCACAGCTGGACACACACCCCTTCGGGATGACGCAGGTAAGTTATTACAGACACTGCCTGCGCACCACCCAAGGGGTAATCCATGGTTGTTGGATATGGGGCCTGGGCGATGGTGGGTAACCTGATGTCCTTGGTCTACGGGTTTGTCATGAGACTGCTGGGTGGCTTGCATAGTCCGGTTTACTCGAGCCCAGCAGAGCACAGCTACAGACTATTTCACAGTGTAGGTCAATAGGTTAGGTCACTTGCACAATTCACATAAGGTCCTGCGTTCGATACCAGACTGTATCTTAGGCCTGGTCATCCTCTTAGTACATGGCCAAAGGATTGAGGCTGGCATAGCAATTCCTTAGTACAGGAGATAGTGCACTTTACAGGAGCGCCGGAACGGGCCCCAGGGACATACGAGGGAACAGAGGATTGTCTGCTCTCAGATTACCATACAACACAGGGCTAAGAGATTATCCAGGGTCAATACATACAGTCCATGATTCACGATTGAGGGTGTAGTACGTACCTTAGAGTTGAGTCTGGCATAGCAGTCCTTAGTACGGACGTCGGGGGTGTCAGGAGATACTGCACCTTACCGCGGGGCCGGAACGGACTCCAGGGATATACAAGGGAACGGAGGATCCCCATCTCTCTACCATCAACATCAAAGTACACTGTAGTAAAAAGACAACATAAGGATAAAGAAAGAAACTCAGTCCATAACTCATGACCTAGGGTTGACTATCCTCCTAGTACGTCGCATAGGGTTGAGGCTGGCATAGCAGTTCCTTAGTACGGGATGTCGGGGGTGTCATGGCCGGAACGGGCTCCAGGGACATACGAGGGAACGGAGGATACCCAGCTCCCTATCATCACCACACAACTAAGCTAGATGGGAGTCACTGTGCACCCTTATGAAGACCTGTAGTAGAATGTTCAAACCTAGCTCCCGAAGTCCCCGTGCAATCAGGCTTGCACGGCGTCTGCTTCAACCAGGGCTGAGCAGGGGGTAGGCATCTCTGCTTAGCCCCGGTACCTGCAACCGCTGTCTGGTCAGGTCACCCCGCCAACATGGCAATGGGTGATGGTCCTGGGTGGTTAACACTAGGGTAGGACAGGGGGGGTGGGGGTGCGCCAGGGCAAAAAGATAAAAGGAAGGGTGGGTGGGGTCTTCAGAGGGGTTCATCTGGACAACCGAGTGGCCGAGTACTGTGGGTGACTGTCATCCGTCTAGTATCCCACCTCTA